AGTGAGGGAGAAAAGGAGCAAAGAATGCTAGCAAATCAGGGGCTTCCAGACTCCCTTCCTGTCTTGAGTAGAACAGCTTTCCCTATGCCCTAGGATGGCAGCTCTTCTCTTTCTGCTACATGGGAAAGAATTTAGGATTAACTTGACTGAAATGGCAAACTATGTCATCCTCCCTGAACCACTGAGAACTGGATAAAGTTTTGCTCCTAATCTATAAAAGTAATCTTGTTGTGAAGGAAGGAATCCAGCTGAGTAAGAACGAAATGCTTTCATAACTTGCCTCCTACATTTTAAGAAATGCTAAGTGTAGTACCAACTTAATGTTCTTCTACTCACCCATCCACATCCTGAAGAAAACAACTCTGGGGTGAAGAGGGGCACATCCTCTTTCTTATCTGAGACTTTAGGAACGTGTGGAGCACAGAGATTCTGATATATCTGGTCTTTTCATCAAGAAAGCCAGCAGAATATATTTGGGACCACACTGTATCGAGGAAAGGAATGTCCCCTCAAACCCTTCAAGCGGGCTCAGTTGAGTTCTTGTGGGATAGTTATCAAGATTTGTCCTTATGTGTGATACCACATATCATTTATTCATTTAATCTCATTTCTCAAATGTTTATTGAGGTTATCCTGTGTTTTGGGTCTCACTAAATATTTTAGAAACCTTGCTGGATGGGATTTTTTGAACATTTGGCAAAGGTGGATACCTTTTAACTTTTGGTAATAATGAATTATGAACTGGGCATTTAGGGAAAATCCTAAATAATAGATGATTTCTTGGATACTAAAACAATACAAATTAATTTTGACAAATTAAAAAAATCTTTTTTGAATACAATAAAGTTAATTATGAAAATTAAGAGGGCTAATGCAATAAGTGTGGAAACATTTTTCTCAGTAAACAATCACAAAGAGTGAGCAGAGAAGGTGAATATGGGGGTGAAAGTTGTGCTGATGGTGATAAACCACAAACTGAAATCATTATGTGCCTGTCTAACAAGAGAGAGAGGATCAGCCAAAAAGTATGTGAGGTTAGGTGATCCATTTATGTGCTCAATTTTTTGATCTCATAAAATTATATATTTAACATATTGCTTACTAGGGCTGAAAGTAACAGTGATTAAGAACTGAAACAAGATGTCTGATATATATATATATATATATATGTAGGTGTACATATATATTAGACTTTATTTAAAAGTAAAAATAGGTTTTTCTAAAGACAAGTAAGTCTTTGTTTGTTGTGAGTTTCTACATTTGTGGGTTTGAGAAAGGAAATTGGATAATTGTTACAAAAAAATTCTTAAAGTCCTTAATAGATTAAAACATATTGTCTGTGATTGAATGGACATGGAATTGGGTGTACATGGTTCTGTATGGAATCCACAGAGGAGTGAAAGTTCTGATGTGTAGGTCACCTGAAGAAAGACTAAGAGGAAAAAGGTACAATTTTTTCCATTGGCAGAGTGAAAAGGTTTGGATATCCAAAAGCAGAGACATATGTGAATTCATCACCCCGATCTGGTTTGTATCCACATACTTTGCTCTGAAATATGGTACTGAGAACAGTTCTACTTTGAGAAGTTACCTGCAAAACAACCACCAACACCAGATAATTTCTAAGACCTCTCCTCCAGTTTATAATTCTATGATTCAATGACATTTTTTGTGTAACAGTCATGGATCCTTTCTTATTGTACTGTTTGTGAATATTTATTATGCTTTTTACTTTAGCCTTGAAAATAACTGAGAATGCCATAAAATAAGAGTAACACATTTACATGCTTTTATCAGGAATAGTTTAGAAAAGAGAATAGGCGGTCCCAGACCTGAGATCAGATCCAACCCTGCAACTGTGTTCTATACTTCAGGTGCTTCATTTCCAAAATGGGATTGCTCTAAGAATTAAATATAAAGTGTTTATCCCAGTGCTCAGCATTAATTACTTTGTACTGGTACTCATATTTTTAGCTTATTTTGCTTTGATTCTATCAGCCTCACATCAGTAAAGCAGCCTTTAAGTCCCTTTCAGAGGTTAATTTTGTGAGATGGTTGTTATCCTGGGTATTTTGGTCATGCATAACTAGAGCCCATTCTCAGCACAGACATACTACACATGACAAACATTTAACATGCCAGTGGTTCAGGAAGAAAATCCTCTGTGAGCACCTAGAGTCCAAACCATCTTTCTAGCAGATGCTCCTGGCATAGATAACAGAACTTGACCTTTTTTAAACCACATGGGCAATAGGGGCTTGAAAAAGAGATTTGGATGTGGATGATTCAGAATTCCCTGTATACACAAAATTCCATGCAGTATTTCCTTATCTACCAACGTGATATATTAGGAGTGAGATTGTCACTCCTTCCTATTAAACTAGACATAATAGTAGAGAGACTTCAGTCCTGGTACCCTTCCAGGAGCAATTTAGGAATCTTATCTAAGAACCAGAAATGATTTCAAATAACATGAAGTAGACTTGCTCACATTGGAGAGAAAACCAAGGGCTGTATCCAGCAGCAAGTCATTTGTATAATCAGAGATTTGCCCAACAGAATCTAGCAAGAGAAGAGAGCTCTAAAATCAATTTTTCTGAAATCACTAGAAAACATTACCTCATTGTTTTGACCTAGCTGTGAAAATAGATGGTTTGATGTTTCAAGAAAAGATGAGACGATATCACTGTTTTCATTGTTTATTGATTAGATCCTTGGGCCTAAACAAAGATCATAGGATTGTCTCTGTTAGGCAAGGATTTGGAGTATTGAGACAGACCCAGATCTGCAAACTTGAAGAGGCTGATAGGTTTACTTCAAGTTCTGGTGAATTTCTCTAACTTATAGAATTGACAAAGTCAGCATTTAGGTATTCTTAATGAGGTCCATCAATAAATAGTAAGGAAGATCTAAATAAAAGAATGTGATGTTTTTCTGAACTTGTTAGGGGAGCTACCTGGAGCCATTTGTGGTGGAAATCTATACTTATTTCTGTATTGATTAGGTCATTAGTGCCATCTATTCTGCTCTGTGGGAATTACTTCACTTGGCTTGCTTCTTCTGTACTCTGAATTACCTCACTTCTGCAGGCAAAATTGCTTATCAATACAGAGACCCCAAATTTCCATAGACCTAAAAGGGACAGTGATAAGCAAAACCCAACATTTTTCCTGTTGATTCGGAATTAACCTTTGGATCATTTGTGATCAAAACCTACTTATGGAATTGTTATTTTGAAGAAATCATTTGCTTACTTGTTTTGCCCTGTACACCTTAGCTGATATGTACTAACCTCTTCCCATGTGAAAGGGACTTTGTACATATCTGTGGTGTCCTAACTGCTCTGCCTTTTGATTGTGGTCACAGCAATACCAATATCTCACAGCATATTTGTCTGAGGGAAGAAGAAAAAATATATGTTTCATCCATTAAATTCTTTTCTTTGTAATACAAGTTATCCTCTACTATATGATTGCTATTAAAAAAACACACACACACAGTAGAATTAGATGATCTAATCTGGAGATCGGGAATTGATAACCAAAGGAAGAGAAGGTGATGTCGTGAGACTGTGTCAGAGAAGGAAGACAATGGAAATTAACTTTTGAAAGTGGTACAAAGTGGGTGGGAAGTTGTCTATGCATCACAGATCTCTACTGCGGCTGTCGTTTTTGGCGTAGGTGCTGCCATGTGTTCTTAGTTCCTGATTTTACCAGCCCTTCTAGCACACTTTCCCCTGATGTCATAGGAAGAGGACAGGTCAAAGTTGAGTGATCTAAGTGAATTCCTCCTCTGCCTGTCTCCCACCTGGCCAAGTTATCCATTGTGAACTTAAGATTCCTTTTATGTGTTCTCACATGCAAAGTACTTGCCACATAATAGAAAGACTACCTCAGTCCTGCTTTCTCTACATGGACTTATTATTGATTAAATGGGCTGAGAGTGGAATTCAGTTATAGAGCTTTTGCCTAACATGTATAAGGCCCTTGGGTTTGGTGTAAACCCCAGAGCCACTAAAAAAGAGGAGAAAAAACACAGAAACGTGGAAATACATGTAATGAAATTATTTATCAATATTTGTTTTGAAATGTTATACAGTTATAGTTTGAGTTACACGTATTTTATCTGCTCATGAGTAGTAACTGACAAAGAAAAATGAAGTGAAGAGTGTTGAGATTCTGTTCTTTTATAAGGGGTTAACAATATATATTACATAATTATGTATAAATTTAGGAAGAAAAGTCTCTAATGCCTGTAAATCTATGTCTGTGCTCACTGCCCAGTTTAATGTGAAGCAGTGATGTTTATTTTAGGGACCTAATGTTTCCCATTTTAAGACAGATAGATGCCTAGGGATAAGTTATTATGGGAAAGGAAATTTTCAAAAAAATATTTTGACCAAAAATTGAAAAATAGTTTTGGAGATGCATATTAACTAAGGAATGAGGTTCAAAGAAAAAATGCCATGCCTGTTTTTTCATTGTTGTTTTCCAATGGAATCACAAAGTTTGGGCTTTCCAGTCCCGGTCTCGGTCTTAAGGTACCATTTTTGGATTCTTTGTAACTAAGGCATGTTATTTAGCTCTTCAGATGTGCCTTCTAAGCTATTCCTCTGTCTAGGTGGTGAAAGTGGCAAATGTGTGTATATGACCTGTTGTCTGTCCCGGGGGAAGAATTAATATCAGATAGACAAGCTTGTTGTCAGCCCAGTGCCCACACATACTATTCATGCATTTCACTTATATTGAGGATGAAATTATCCATGTTAACTGATCTCTTTCTCTTGACATTATCTTCCAGAAAACTTAAATTAGAATTAGCCTGTATAACCTTCCATCAAAGAATGTTCGTCCTCAATTTGTTTTCTACCAAGTAAACCCTGAACACCTGGAGTGCACACGCTGGTTCTGAGCCGAGCTTCCTGTGTGTTGCCAGAGGCTAACGGTTGTACTTGGCAGATGTGCAAGGTCAAAGTGGTCTTTTTATCCTTCCTCCCACAGGAGTCATCTCTCAGACGGAGGAAGTGGTGAGGTTAACAGAAGCTTCAACACTACCCTGAATTAAAGTAGGTACGATGGACCTGTTTATTAAGTATTTGTCAAAGGTAGTGGCTTTGTTAAAATATTTGGACAGAGAAATTTAGAAATGATGCTTAGTTTTTACTAATTAGAAATAAATCTTCTTTCATGATATGAAACAAAGTAGCAACCAAAAAAACCCTTGTTTTGCCACTTTGCTAAATTGAAGAAATGGAAAATTGTAGAAATATTGTTTATGGGTAAATAGACTTATTTAATAGCAATATATTTTTGTAATGTCCAGAAAATACATGCTTCAAATTTCTTTACCTAATTCATCATATGCATTAGATAGCTTTACTTGATCTAGATTTAATTTTATTGTTAAGAAACAGTCTTTTTTTGATACAGGATCTAGCTTTGTAGCCCAGGCTGGCCTCAAATTCATGATCTTAATGCCAACTGGGATTATAGGTATGTACCACGATGTCTAGCTTATAAGTCTACTTTCTTGTTTGTTTATTTGTTTCAGTGCTGAGGATCAAATCCAGAGCTTTACACATATGCTCTACCACTGAGAAATTTAGAGACAATGCTTAATTTTCACTAATTAGATATTAAATCTACCACTGAGCTATATCCCTAGAGAAATTCTTTCTAAAGAGAGAACAGAAAAACAGAAATTATGCATACTCATTGGTATGTTAACATATATGTGTATATATGTCAATATGCAAATTGTATATAAACTAATAAATATAAAATAACTTGCATGTTATATGTACATATATAAATTTGAGATTTCTTTATATTATAAAAGATTAATTTCCATCATGAGATCAATGACAGGTACTAAGTTACTTGGTCTTCTATTTCCTTTTCTTGCTGAATTAATTTATTTCACTATGAAAGGACAATATCTCATTAAGAATAGGATTACAGAACAGGATCAATGAAGAGAGAATACTTGCATATATCCCTGGTCTCAACCCATCAGCCCCAGTAACATTTTACCAAGATAGAAGTAGAGGGTAAGACAGTGGATTCATTGTTCAAATACAGACACCAGGATTACTGTACATTGAGGTTTCAATTCTGTATCTCTGTCCCAGTGACCAAAATGAGCTGTATTGACTATCTTATAATGCCCACTGGTGATCCAGACCCATATTTAACCGTAAATGAGCCATCCTAGTAAGTGGGACTTATCACAGAAGGAAATAAAGATTCCAGGAGGAATCTCAGACTGTGGTCCTCTTTGTTCTTTGTTACAGAGAGGATTCACTCTTAATGCAGTAGTTCTTACAATTGCACGTTTCTTAAAGTACAGACTTTTGTGACTCGGTAGAACTGGGGTGGGTCTCAAGTGTATGCATTTCTAACACATTCCTAAGTGATGTTGATGGTAGTGGTCCATGAGCCAACAATCTGATGGTGACTGAAAATAAACACAAATTTTCCTGTCAGAATGCAGAATTTGCATAATTGTTTTATAATAAAATATTAAAGGATCATCATAAAATTTCAAAACACCCAACTTCAAAATAAATTTTAAATTTACTTTTATTTAAAATTATGCTGAAAGCATAGCAACCTAAAAGGAGGTAAGGATTTACAGATTCACTGGACAGAAAGCATTAGGAGCTTGTTTCAAAAGATTATAGGAAAATGCAAATTTTCCCCTGAGCTTCTATATTCCAGAGTGGACTTCTAAAATCTATGGAGGTAGAATAACAATCCTTAATCCACACAATTGCTTATTCTAAAAGTCAAGAAAAAAAATTAAAAAGTTAGTGAGCACCTCATGGTGCTCGCTTGTACTCCTCACACTCAGGAGGTAGAGGCAGGAGGATTACAAGTTTGAGCCCAGCCTGGACTATACAGGAAGACCCTGTCTCAAAAATAAATAAATAAATAAATAAATACTGCTGAGTGTTAGAGTTTAAAATTGTAAACAGAAAAATGTATAAATAAAGACTCATAACAGCTTTATGTATACTTGGTGATCCAAATATCCTTCAAGCTGTGAGGTGTCCAGGACATGAGATATTGCTCAGCAATTAAAAGGACCAAGTTACTAACACACACAGCAGCTTGGGTGGTGTTCAAGAACATTCTGTTAAGTGAAAACAGGCAATCCAAAAAATTGGAGTGAATGATTCCCCTTACATAATATCGCCAGATGATAAAACTCTAGTAACAAAGAACAGTTCATGTTTGCCAAGAGAAATGACAAGGGGAGGCTTTGACTGTAAAGTGATGGCACTGATATATGGCTTGATTATTGTCATGGTTGTACAAATTTATACTTGAATTCAAGTTCATGAGATTGTACAGCCACTAAAGAAGTCAGATTTACTATGTGATGATTTGTAAGTTTAAAAAACATCAGACTGAGCACCAGTCGCTCACACCTGTAATCCTAGTTCCTTGGGAGGTGGGAGGCTGAGGGTGGGAGGCTTATGGTTTGAAGCCAACCCAGGCAGAAACTTCAAGAGATCCCATCTCAATCAATAACTGGACAGAGTGTTGTGCACCTGTTATCCCAAGCTATTCAGGAGGCTGAGATTGAGAGGATCACAGTTCCAAGCCAGCCTGGGCAAGAAACTGTTGTGAGACCCCCTTCTCAACAAAAAGAAAAAAAAAATCTGAGCTTGGTGGCTATGCCTGTCATCCTAGTGACAACAAGAAACATAAAACAGAATCACAGGCTCAACTGACCTTGGCAAAAAGGGAAACGGTCTTCAAAATCACCAGACCCAAAAGGGCTCAGGTGTGGTTCAATTGATGGAGCACCTGGCTAGCAAGTGCGAAGCCCTGTGTTCAAACTCCATAACAACAACAAAAACAATCAGAATTAAGTTATCTTTTAGTTATACCATGTAACTGGTCTGACACAATTGTGTGAGATAAAATGTCAGTTCATAGAAATAGATGAAATGCTTTATTTCAAGCAAAAGACAAAGAACGATGCCTTGTATGAGCCTGCCTAGGCAAACTGGAAAACCTTTCCTGTCATAGTCCTAAGCTGTCATTCCTGGCACCTTGTCCCTATTTCCTTGTTCATTGTTTTTCTTAGGATTCTTCTCTGTAATTTTTGTAGCTTCCAAAATGACTTTCAGGGGCAGGTTTGTTCTTCTATTTAGATTAACTGTGACAGACTGACAGCCTGGAATTATTGTCCAGATTCCATGCTCTTTCATGTGTGAGCTCCAGGAATTGCCATCCCCCTCAGCTTGACCAGCCTAGCAATGGCTGCCTTCAGAAGGAAGCCATAGTGTACTATCCCAAAGTAGCTGTAAGTTTTAAAGATATGAGGCCTCTAGAAGTGTCTGGGAAGTCTGGTTTCCAGAGGTGTTAGCAATTCAGTTGTAGTCAAAGCTCTGATTAGGTACTATCAATAAAGTCTGCCTAGTAGATAGACATATGTGTCTTTCTCTGTGAAATACACATATAATGCTAACCAGGTATAAAGTACTCTCTGAGTGCACTGTGTATTAGTGTGCCTAACCCTCTCAATTGTCTGAGTTAGGAACTCTTATTGTTCCCATTTTCAGGTGAAGAAACAGAAGTATAAAGGCAGTAACTGCTCTGTTAGAGGACAGAATGTCAAACATGAGATTCTAAACAATAAACTACAACATGGCACCTACTCTTTTTTTGTTGCTGTTGCTTGTTTGTTTTGCTTTTGTCAGCATTTTCTCCTATCACGACAGACCTTTATCTTTGTTAATGCTGCATTTGAGTTTACACATGGCCCACCAGCCGTGAGGTCATTCACAAACTCTTGTCCAGAGCTGACCTTGTTACACCATCGGGCAGTGCATTCAGGTTCTAGTGCTTGAGCCCAGGGACATAGGGTGCCTTTATTCTAGGTGGATCTGCACATGAGGGTGCATGTGGGCAGAGCTGCAGCCATTAATGGATGGAGAGAAATGCCTGGTGACACTGATGCTCCATACTGTTCTTGAGAGGTACACATGTGGGCAGAATCCAACATGTGGCATTTCTGTCCTCTGGGCACTCTCATCTTGCAAAACCAGGAAGCTGCTTTCTTGTCAGCCAATCCTGAGTGCTCCCTGGTTGAGTAGGTAGCCTGTTCCAGTGGACTGTTGCGCAAGAACCTACCACCGACCTGGTGAGTCAATTTCTCCAAAACCACCATGGGCGAGCAGCGGCTGGGCTGAGGCCTAGGGAGAAGCATCCACCTTCTCATTCTTTCTCTGATTCATCTTGTGGAACAGGGGAGAATAAGTATGGTCCAATCTTAGTTTCAAGGCAAACCAGCACCATCTCTTGTTGGACTCTGGCCAATGTCCTGTGGGAATTGTTTTGTTTTGTTTTTTAGAGATAGTCTCAGTCAACTTTGTCCTAAAAGGCAGTTCTAGGCTGAGGTCACACAACTCTAGGCCTCAAAGTCATCTTCAATTCTGAGTCCTAGCATGGTGGTCAGGATACCAGGAGCCTTAGACACAGTCCTTTCCTGGAGGGGCTTGGACCGTAGGTGTTGCCTTCATTTTACAGTAACATGGGCTTTTGCACCTTTATTGCTTCATAGTACTAAAATGGCTGTGAAATCACATTTTTGTATCTCAGGGGATGTCTGAGGTGGTGTCCCTGATGAAAAATAATTGCACCTCTCTGGCTAAGGGTAGAAGAAATGATAGTCTTTTGTGATAAAAGATGCGGCTATTATGCAGTTTGGCATCTTTCTAGTAGATAACCATGACTGAAGTGTGAGGTTGCATTTGCATCTCAGTGAACGTATTCCAGGTGCATAAATGGAAAGCACTGGACAGAGCATGGCTTTTCAGACCTCTGTGTGAATAATTTCAATGCCATTGGCCTGAAGCAGGGATTTATCTTCCCTGAGCCTCAGTTTTCTTTCTTTTGTTCCTTCTTCCCTCCTTTTCTTCCTTGGTTCCTTCTTTAATACATACGAATAAGTGGTTTTAAGGATTAAAAACACTATGTGTAAAAAAGTTCCTTTGGCATTTGGAACAATAAGATATATATGAAAACATGATAGCTATTATTTTTATAGTATGGAT